TTGAAGGCATGAAGGGGTCATGGAGAGCAGCTGAGGCTTAGCACTGTGTGACAGGGCTGGGGTCTCTGAAGAGAGTCTGAGAGAGGTTACTGGTGAAAGTACAGCCCAGTTGCACCAAGGGATCCCAGCATTTTTGGAGATACCAGTAACATGGGGTGACCACCAGGAACATCAGCAGCAATGGAGTGGAGCCAGCTATCGTCTAGGAGACACGCTGTGTGTGCTGCATAGGGAAGGGCTGCGGAGTGACCCAAGCCCCTTGGAGGAGTCCAGAAGATTGTGAGTGAATCCCAGACAACTGCACATTGAGTTACACTGTCGGAGTTTAGTATTGCTTGGTTCAGATGGTGACTATGCCCTGGTTCTTCCCTGTTGAGAAATGTATTTAATTTTGATTTTTATAGAAGCCCACAACTGAAAGACTTTGAACTTTTAAAAGAGATTTTGAGGCTTTAAAGAGATTGGATAATTTTTTTTTTTCGAGACAGGGTTTCTCTGTAGTTTTTGGTGCCTGTTCTGGAACTAGCTCTTGTAGATCAGGTCGGCCTCAAGCTCACGGAGATTTGCCTGCTTCTGCTTCCCGAGTGCAGGGATTAAAGGTGTGCACCACCACCACCCAGCAAGATTGGATATTTTAAAGAGATTAAATTTTTCAAGTGTTTGAATTTATAAAGACTGGGACTTTTAAACTTATTTATAAATGTTTTATATTGTGACATTAATAGTAACATGCCATTTTGGGGATAAATGAGAAGGGAAAGGTTCTAGTTTTAAACTGATATGTTTATGTGTCATGTTGACTGGTGGCTAGTTGTGCTGACTAGTTTTTATTAAGTAGACACAAACTAGAGTCATCAGTGAGGAGGGAGCCTCAACTGAGAAAGTCTCCATAGGCTGGGCTGTAGGCAAGCCTGTAGGCCATTTTCTTAATTAGGGATTAATGGAAGAAGGTCCAGTCCATTGTGGGTGCTGCCATTTCTGGGCTGGTGGTCCTGGGTTCTATAAGAATGCAGACTGAGCAAACCAGTAAGCAGCACTCTCCACGGCCTCCTGCCTCCGGGTTCCTGCACTCACTGCTTTTGATGATGAACCATTATATGGAACTGTGAGTGACATAAACCCTTTCCTTCCCAAGTTACTTTTGGCCATGGTGTTTTACCACAGCAAGACTAACCCTAACTAAGACAATGTGATAGACCCATGTCTCCTGTGAACATGGACACAGAAATTCTGAGCACAGTAATAGTAATTGATGCACTATGGAAAAGTATAGCTTAGCCTAGGAATATAAGGTTAGTTCAAGCACTGCAATTTGGTTATCCTAACTCATCATGCTAACAAGATAGAGGAGGAATAACCCTGTGATTATTTTAAATGCAGCACCAGCACTTGTGAAACTTCAGCACCCATCTGTAAGAATTTGGGGGAAGTTCCTGATTCGATAAGCATCTCTATAGAAAACCTACATCTCAAGTCATTCAGTGAGGGGGTGTGTTCCCCTTAAGATCAAGAACAAGACAATGGCTCTGCTCTCTGCTCTTTTCAGCCCTGAGCTAGAGGACCCAGTCAAAAGAACAAGGCAAGAAAAAGAAAGATTAGTAAGAATGGAAAAACTGATTTTATTCACAGATATGTGACCAGGTTGGCAGGTTGATTAGTTGGGATTTGTTTTGTTTGAGACACGACCTTCCTATGCAACCCTTGTTGGCCTAGAGGTCATTTTATAAACCAGGCTGGCCTCAGATTTGTGGTAATTCTGCTGTCTACACGTTCCAAGTGCTGAGGTACCAGGCGTGTACCACCGCACCCTGATGAAGATGTAACTACAACCAGAAAACCCCAAGGCACAGGCAAAAGAAAACCGCAGCACAGTATTAGGACTTGTAAGTGATTCTAGCAGTTGTGGGCTACAGTTACAAAAACAAGTGTATTCCTGAATATTCATGACAAATAATTATAAAATTAACATACCAAGGAGTCTTCATGGTGGGCTGTCCTGGTTCTGTCTGTGGGGGAGCTGCACTGTGTTGATAACACATTAAGACTCAACACTTTTTAACATGTTCTTGTCAAGTGTCTTTGAGTTCAAAGACAACTCTCAAACTTTCAGCAGACTTTTTGGTGGCAGAAACGGACAAGCTGACTTTAAAGATATATAGAGATGCAAAAGACATGGAGAAGTCAGTACTGATTTTCGGAAGAGAAAGGTCAAAAGTTTTTGACGTGTGACTCTCCGTGAAGCTACAATAACAAGACCCAAGGTACATGCAGCTCCTGGCCGGGCCTGACTGGAGCCTAGACACACACCCACCTTTGTTCCCCAAACAGATTTTTGACAAAGTCAATAAAGGAAACACTCTTAAACAAATAGTTCTAGGACAACAGGGTAGTCCTACAGAAAAAATAACTCTTAATGTCCAGCTCGCCACGCGCATGGCAATGAATGTAAGGTGGATCTGAGACCTGGACTCAACTGCAGCTTCTGGGACAGGACATGGGAAAGTAGCTTCATGATCTCACTGAGGACTTTGAAGAACACAGGAAGCTGTCTCCATGAAAGAAAAACAAATGAGGCAAGTATGATTTTATCAAACATAAACTCTTCTGCCCAACAAGAGACTGTTTACTTCCATTTCCTGTCAGGATGGAGCCACAGGGCCCAGGCTCAATTCTCCTACCCACTACACTGATTCCTGGGGCCCAGTCCTGCCACAGATCATTAAGGCATGCGGGTGGAACTGGCTGCCTTGGCGGTGCTATCTGGGGTCAGGGCCTTTGATTCAAACATTGAAGTTGGAGAACCAGCTGGGCCTGACTCCAAACTGCATCTTTGGGGTGGTCATGTCTGTGGATTTAAAGTTCCAAACGCAGGTCTCTTTCACCTGGCAAACCAGTCCATTGCTGGGGACTCCTTTCCCACTCTGTGGAGCATTTAACCAGGCTACCCCCAATGGCCACCCCAAGGTTCTTCCGAGGTACTCAGCTCCTCCTTGCTTGCCTGGGATGCAGAGGTCTCCTGTCAAGCCCTGGCTCCAGCTGCTCTGCCAGGCTCAGCGTTACTATTTTTGGCTGTAACCTAAGCAGCTGCCCATTAAAATTCCATTAGTTTCGAAGGCTGGAGCTGCAGTTGATATTTCTAATTATTGTGAAATTAAAATTGTCTCTGTAATTTAATGATAATTGCACGAGATGCCAGCTGGTGCCCCAGGGAGATGCCCTGTTCCTGAGCAGAACTTGGAAGGTCTCTTGAAAGTTTTTTGAATAAGAAAGCAGGAAGGGGAGGAGGGGGCCGGCACACAGTTGGAATCAAAATTTCCAGCGTCAACAGGCAGTGGTGAACCCAGACTTCTGAGGAGGCAGCCTGGCTCCCAGAATAGGTAGGCTGTAGTGAGAGGTTGGCACCAGTCCCCTCCAGCACTGAGAATAGGATTGAATAAAAGGGGGAGGACCTATGGGTTGATACATTACAATCGAAACCTACAGGAATGAAGAAACAGATTCAGGTGTGACATAATGGGGAAAGTTCTAGAAGCTTACAGAAGCTCTTTCTGGGACAGGCCTTGCATTTAATCGGTTGTTTTTTGTTTGTTTGAATTTGTTGTTGTTGTGTAGTGGGTCTCCACGGAATGCATCCTGGAGCCAATTCTGCTTGATTAGGCCTCCCTTGCAGTCACGCCTGGAGGACTGAGCTAAGGAAACAGTGGCTGGCCCTGGCGCTCCCTGCCATCTCCTACCTGCTTCTGCCTTCCCAGTGTAGAAATTAAAGGCCTGTGCCACAATGAACAGCATAATTTGTAGCTATTCTTTTTCTCAGTTTTTCAAGACAGGGTTTCTCTGTGGAACCTGCCCTGGAACTCGCGCTGTAGACCAGGCTGCTCTCGAACTCAGAGTTCACCTGCCTCTGCCTCCTGAGTGCTGGGATTAGAGGTGTCACTTTGTAGCTTTTGATGCTACGATAAATGGGATTTACCTACCCCCTACTGCTCTGGTTATTACTAATACAAAAAAGGGAAGTTTACAAATTCCTCCCTTATTAATTCTAAGCACTTTAAAAACCCTTTTCTGTCTCACAGTCACGAGAGACTAGAGATAATCATCCCATCTCCTTTTCTAATATCTCTAAGCAAAGTTGCACCAGTCACCAACAGTGGGTCTCTTCCTGTCTCATGTTGGACTTAGGCTTCTTAAGGAAATGTATATGTATATGGTGCCTGCTATCTGTTAATATTCTATTTATTTATCATTATTTGCATTATTATTTTTTCTTTCCTTTCATGTGTTACCTGCATGTCCCTTTCTCTTTCTTTTCTTTCTTTTGAAACAAGGTCTTGTAGCCCTGCCTGGTCTTAAGTTTACAGAAAATTTTCTACATAAACCTCCTGAATACTGGAGTTCCAGGCATGAGACACCAGCTCTGCTCATGAATGTCTCAGATGAGGCTGACTTAAGTTCTAACCTGGAGACCACTTCTCTGTCAAGATCCTTGTGATGGAATGGAAAGTGTGTGTGCAAGGCTTTTGTCATGCTTGCATGTTGGGCTGAGTGAGGAAAGGCATGTGTGCAGTGGTGTGTGTTGTAATAAAATACAGTTTATAGAGATTCCTTGAAAGGACACTCCTGAGAAATGAACGAGGCCAGCTCCTCAAAAGAAACAGTGACAACATTTGTTACTGGTGGTAAAATTCACACTTTCCTGTAAGAGTCAGACTCTGGAAATATTGCTCTGACCACCATGGGCTTGGGACTTTCCACCTGAGGACTTCCTGCTGAGACTGTCTGCTGTGGGATAATGCTCTTGTACCCTGTAAAGTTTTGTCACTTGTATTGGTTTAATAAAACACTGATTGGCTAGTAGCCAGGCAGGAAGTATAGGCGGGGTTACCAGACTATAAGAATTCTGGGAAGAGGAAAACCTCAGTCTGTAGTTATCACCCAGAAGCAGAAGAAGCAAGATGAGAATGCCTCACTGAGAAAAGGTACCAAGTCATGTGGTTAAACATAGACAAGAATTATGGGTTTATTTAAGTTGTAAGAGCTAGATAATAGTAAGTCTGAGCTAACAGGCCAAATGGTTTATAATATAATATAAGCCTCTGTGTGTTTCTTTGGGATTGAATGCTATGGGACCAGGCAGGACAGAAACTTCCATCTTCAATTCTTAGTGACTGGACAAAGGTGACTCTCTGGTATCTGATTGATGACATGTTGTAACACTAGGAATACTTGTATCACTCTAGGCACAATATTTTCCAAAAATGTTTCCAAATGCCTTCTGGGTACATAAACACAGAAAGATAAAGAGCCAGTGAGGCATAAGATGAGACACAAGGAAAGGTTGGGGCTTTGGGGAGGTGGCTGAATGGAGGAACATTTGCCTAGCATGCAGGAGACCCTGGGTTCAATCCCTAGGTCCAGAAAAAAAAAAAAAACCCTATCTCCTCTCTCCTCAAGTTTGAGGTAGGACAAAGTCAAAGCAGCCACACTGAATTGTTCTTTAAATATCTCTTTTTTACAGGTAACTTCCTGTGAGGTTGGACTTTCTGAATAGAATTCTGCATTTAACAACCAAAAACTCTGCTGGTAGGTGAGTACACAGGTACCTGAGGAATCATTGCTGGTTCCTGTAAGCCAGAGATTTATACAAATATAAAACAATGCCACTTTTCTTGTTGAAACCTTGTTTTGGAAAATACATTTTAATACAACTGGTCCTGATAGTAATATTTAATGGGTTTATTGTTCTGAAATAAATAACATTTTTATATGTCTAAAGTTTTTAAAAATTATTTTATATGCATTGGTGTTTTGCCATAGGTGTTGGATCCCCTGGAACTGAAATTATAGACAGTTGTGAGCTGCCATGTGGGTGCTGGGAATTGAACCCTGGTCTTACGAAAGAGCAGTTAGTGCTCTTAACCACTGAGCCATCTCTCCAAGCCCCTACAGTTTAATTTTTAAATAAGGTTTTCTAGAGGTACTGGTGTTGCTGGTTGGAACTCTTTAAAGTTTTCTGGAATCCATTGCTGGTCACTTTTCTTAGTCACTAGGGTCCCCAGAGCTCTCCCGTGCTCGGATGACATGCTGAGCCGCCCTGCTGAGCTGCCGTGTGAGTGTGGAGCTGCTGCATGGAGAGGAACATCTCCCCAGATGATCACTGATGAGGCTGTCACATCCCCTTAGACACTGTGGGAGTCGAGGCGCTTCCCGGTCTCTGAGTCCATCAGACTCCCGGCCAGGCCCACATGTGGTGATGTCGACCAGTTACTTCCCTGCTGCCGGTATAAACCACCATGACCGAAGCCACCGACAGAAGGAAGAGTTTGTTTGGGCTTACAGTTCCAGAGGGACGAGAGCCCATCATCATCATAGCAGGGAAGAAGAGCAGCAGACAGGCATGGTAGCAGGGGCAGCTGAGAGCTCCTATCTTGAACCATAAGCAGGAAGTACAGAGCTCACTAGGAATCACACAAGTCTTTTAAATTCTCCCAGCCTGCCTCCAGTGGCACCTCATCCAGCAAGGTCACACGCTGAAGCTGCCCCAAACAGTGCCACCACCTGGAGATTGAGTATTCAAATGTCTGAGAATACAGGTGACATTTCTCATTAGTATCACCACAGGAGGTAACCTGAAGGCTCCCAATGTGCCTGCACGTCCCAGCTCTGCAGGCTACGGAGAACATCTTCCCACCTTTGGCCCCATTCTTTGTTTCACATGAATTTAAACATAATTTTGTCATTTCAAAACAAAACCTGCAGTTCTGCTAGACACATAGTGGCATCAAGTGACTAAAATGAGAAGGCTGGAGCTTCTGTGGTGCACTCAGCGCCCACACTAGGGACCGTTTTGCATCCTTCAGTGACGCGGTGTATCTTCGCCAGTCTTTCTCCATCTTTCTGGCTAGATCCACTCCTGGGCAGTCTACTACCCAGGTTTCAGTTGAGTGGACTCCTTTCTCATTGTCAATTTTAATACGTTTAGGTTGAAGCTCTTGAGGGTCTGTGTATTTGGTTTTCGGGATCATCAAAAGTAGTATCTGAAGATAAAGGGAACTATCATGTCTTCATCCCGTCCCTTAGCTTTCTGTTTGTTGACCAGTGTCTTGTTCTAGATGGCAGAGGATCAGGTTGTGATGGCGAAAGCACTTGCCTGGCTCCTGTGTTCATGTTTTGCTGAACCAGATCAGATTATTTTAGCGTTTACTAATAGAGTTATTTTACTCCTCAAACAACTCAATAGCTAAAGAAGAAACTAGAAAGTCCTCAATGACACATTGTGGAACCTTTGGTCAACCTCAGGTGTTCAAGAGATCAGTCCCATCTAACCTCAAGAGGACAAACAAACAAGTCCTAGACTGCTCAGACAGAGGCTGCCTCTGCATGCAGAATGCAAAGATGCTAACTGACAGGAGTACGGAGTTAACAGTGTACCGCTGCTGCAATTCTGGAATATGGGATCCATGAAGTCACTGGCTGCCTCCTGACCCTCCTTCTGTCCCCTCCTATGAAGTGCCAAGACCCAGTGGCCAGTGCTCCCCTCCAGCAGCCTCTCAGACAGCACTACTCTCTCTTCTAGGATAGACCCCCCCCCCATTTTTTGAGGCTCAGGAGCTTCATGGTAGCTTAGCCACCATGACCCACAAATGAGGACAGGCAGATGTATGTCAGCAGATCACTGAGTGTCCATGGTGGGGTCCCCAGCAACTAAGGCTGCAGATGAATTCTGGGAGGCAGAAGGAGGTCAGGTTCCCGACTTGGCTCTCACGTACCACATGCCCCTGAGTTCTCTGTCTTCCTGGAGCCACCAACTGCTTTTCAGGAGAGAGCTGTAGTTACTTGCACTGGTGCCTAAGAACCAACTATTTGATCTCTTCCTTGTTAGGGGTATAGGGACAGCACACAGGCAGCTGGCGCTTTGCTTTGTCTACACCACAGACTGACAGGTGCTCCATCTATACCACTGTGTGAATGTTTCCCACTGCCTGAGGTTGCTAGCAAAACGCAGAGCCCACGGGACATGGACTCAGGAGACCTATGCGGGGCAGAGGGACTGAGAGCTCAGAGGACCTAAGATCAAGGTAGATCGTGCTCACTATTCTGTCTCAGCTGCATAGGGCATGCAGCCCCTCCCATAGGTAGCCTGGGGTAGGGTGCCACATCATCTGGTGACACAGACTTGTAGCCCCTCCCCACCCCTCATGCTTGGCTATTACTGAAGAGTCAGTATAGCTGGTACTCTCACCTCAGGATGATTGGCAGCTGCATGGGGATACCTTGCTATTACCCCTGACCTCAGAAGTATACTCTAAGTCTCAGGGAAAACTGAAACACATAAGCACCTAACCCAGCTCCACTGAATCTGGTCCTCTGGAACTGCAATTGGCCTGGGGCCAAGGGGTGAATCAGACAGGCTTGCTTCCAGTCTCCCCTGTGGCCTCGGTGAAAAGTCAAGGCCTGGCCAAAGGTACTATGGCTATTCAGCAGAGGCGGTCCTGGGAAGAATCTTTCACATGGTAAGATGACAGAGGCAAGATGGCCATTGCATGCCTTCTCAGAGGCCAGGCTGAAACACTCACAACAAGCTTAGAGAAAACACAAACTTCCTCCAGAAGTACATGGCTCTGGGTGACCTGGCTGCTGGCAACAGGTTCCCCTGGGTGCTTGCAAGAGCAGTTCTCTGTGTGGGGGTGTTCTTCCTAGCTCTGCCTGAATCTGGTTTCTTCTGTCACAGGCCCAACCTTTCCCTTCAGCACTCTTCGTCATTGGTTACTATTTCTCTGCTGAGCCCTGTGCCTCACTTCGCATGCCGCTGCTACCAGGAGCCAGATCAACAAGGTGAGTCGGCATGGACCCTGTGCTCGTGTGAAGCTCCTAAGGGGTGACTGTGTTGGGTTAGTACTCTGATAGCTGGGTAATTAGGGTTGGTGCTACAGCTCCTGTGGAAGAAAGACCCCACAACCTGCCCCTGACCTATGGCATTTGCTTTTGTGTACGGAGAACTGTCCCAGCCAGCACTTGCCTTTCCCCTTCACATCAGAGAGAGCAAAGTCGGCTTCCAGGCAACAATGGAAAGTATGTTTAATATCAAAAGCCGTTTCAAGTATCATGGTAGTGACTATACTGGAGAGTGGATTCTGGGATCTTCTCGCTAGCAACTGCCCTAGGGTCCCTGGCATTAATGCTGGAGCTAGGGCTCCAAGGTCTCATAGGGCCACTGAGGTCCTAGAAAGCCCTTCAGAGAAGCACAGAGGTCAGATTGAAGCCTGTCCCCTTTCCGGAATCCTGCCGGGTGGGCAGGGCCCTGAGCCTGGGTGGGCCTCCAGACAGGACTATGTGGCACCTGCCATCCTCTCCATGGCCTAGACGTTGGACTTTGCGATGATCTTCTCCAGCAAGCTCATCATGCGCTCCTGAAGCTGCAGGCTCTGAACCTGCAGGATGTTCTGCTGGTCCAGCACTCGGCGCACCTCTCGGCATGTCTCCTCCATGGCACGGCTCAGCCGGCGCTGTTCCTCCAGCATGGCCTCCAGCAGCCGCAGCTTCTTTTTCTGTAGGTGACAGCTCCGGACCTTGCGCTTTTTCACAGGACGTTCCTCTGACCTGTGAGAAAGACATGAGCTGGTCACAGGGCCTGGGACATGGGGGCGATCAGACCTTCCCAAACACCCGCCTGGACAAACTAGGCCACTGAGGCCCCATGAGCTCCAGAGGAGGGCTTGGGGCTTACAGAGCACACAGAGCAGCAGGTAACAGCAGGCAGGCAGCTCCAGGACCATCCACATTCCAGAGTATGAACTGTGTGGGCACACAGCCCTGACAGCACCCCAAACCCACTGAGCTGGAGGAAGGTGCTCAAGAGTGAAGAGCCCACTCTAGGGAGCAGCAAGGCTGGGAAGGAAGATGCTGGGCAGTGTGGTACTTGGTACTCTTAAGGAAAGTGAAGTCTGTAGCCCCAACTGGCCTATGAGAGACAAAGAAATGGGTTCAGAATGAAGGCCTACCCTGAACCTGGTCTCCAAGTATGCCTTTCGTGGGGTGGGGTGGGGTGTGTGTGTGTGTGTGTGTGTGTGTGTGTGTGTGAGAGAGAGAGAGAGAGAGAGAGAGAGAGAGAGAGAGAGAGAGAGAGAGAGAGAGAGAGGAGAGAGAGAGAGAGAGAGAGAGAGAGAGAGAGCAGCTGGGTTCCTCAGGAGAGGCCCCATGGTTGCTTTCTGCCAGTCTAAAAACCCTGTTGGACAGCAGGGAGTTGTCAAAAGCCACTGGATCCCCACATCCCAAGGCCTATTCTGGTAGCCTCCAGTGCCTGTCCTGTGCTCTGTGTCCTGAGCAAAGTGGGTGATCAGTCAATCTTGGGGACAGAGCCCTAGGCTGCTGTGCCTGGAAACGGCTCGGTAAGCCACGGGAACAATTGGCCATAAATCTCAGGCTTCTCTGTTAGTTTGGTCTGGCTCTAGTAAAGACAGATTTTTGTCTGGGCCCTTGAATGAGAAATTCCCTCTAGGAAAGGGCTTTCTGGATAAATTAATCGAATTCCCTCCATCACCCCCAGGGATATTAGGTTCAGAGGCCGCCAAGCAGACACCTTCCCTATCCTACCTACTGTGAGACAGGCTTGAAGGCCCATAACCCAAAGCCACATTTCCTAGCTTCTTCAACTGCTTGACTCCTATTTTACCTTGGTAACCCACCCTAAACATCCCCTCCTCAGAAGTGTCTGCTCTGGACTCCACAGCCCAAAGCCACAGAGTGTCTCCTACTTGTCCCCCAACTCTTACAGGGTCTATGAGTGTCTAGCAGGCACAGGCGTGTAGCCAACTAGCCAACACAGGCCTAGAGTGTGATGGGAGAGAAGACAGAGAACATATGGCCCACTCACTGCTCAGGAGGTACAGACCTAAATCTCCATGTTGAGAGGACCTGTTACTGAGGTGGGGCCCATGCTGGGGCTTGACAGACAGGGAGGGCATGCTTGGTGCCTGTCCCTGTGTCTTCTCTCCTTAAGACATGCTGATTTATCCTCATTTATAGTGGGAGACACAGGTCAGAGAGGTCAAAGAACTTTCCATGCAGGTAAAAGGTGATGGAGCCTTGGACCAGCCCCACCTGCCCCCTGGCACTAGAGCACTTGCTGCCCTGAGGCTGCCCTGGCCCTGGGCAAGGCACGCAGCTATGGCCTGTGCAGCCAGTCAGGGCAGAGAACACTACAGCATGCCACTGTGCCACTGCCAGTCCCTAGCTCCAAGCACTGGAGCCTTGGCCCCATTTGGGGATGGGGCAGGGGGTGGAGTTGCCAAGGCAGTGCTGGGTCAAGAGAGGAAGGGCGAACACACACTACCTGAACTTAAGGGACAGTAAGCTGGAGGAGCTGTCGGAGCGATCGTCCTCGAAGCGGCCTTCATAGGAGCACTGGGTATACGGTAAGTACAGAGGGGTGGACTTAGCAGACGGTGACAGGGACGCCTCGGTCTGGGACGTGGAGGGCCCCGGCTGCTGGCCATCCGGCAGTTTGCCCTCACAGGACTCAGGGACCTTGGCCAGAATCCTATCAATGGCTAGGTAATAGGGCCAGTCCGGCGGGACGGACTCGCTATCTGTCATGCATTTTAATTTCCTGAAACGAGAGACACAAGAGCCAAGGTGAGAAACAGCAGGTGCAGCCTGTCCTGCCTGGCCCCTGGGTAGCGTGGCACACAAGGAAGGGGTCTAGGTCCCCAGGGGGAGTCAGGCAGGAGCCACTCTCGGCCAGCACTGGCTTCCTTGGTAAAATCAGTCAGGCCCTAGGGCCCCTGTGACACTGGACAGAAGGTAGAGAGGTGCTGGGACCTGCACAGCTTTTGGGTGTCAGAAAGGAAACCCAAGCATGAGCAAGGACACCCATAGGTGCTGGGAGCTTGGGGCTGGTTCCTGTGGTCTCTTCTCTTCTGTGGGTTCTAAACTCACTGCATGCAATGAACCGAGTGCTTTTTATATAAGTTAGCCTGCAGCGATGAGACTGTGTATGAGATACCAACATAGAAGAAACTGCCATGCAGCACTTGTATTCTACAAAGATGCCTCCAGGAGAGGTAACAGCAGGCCGCAGGAAAACAACACTCACAGCTCTGAGCCTGTATCTTGCACACACAGTGTGATCTTGGACAGGTTCATTAACCTCTCTGAGCCTTCATGTTTTACATTAGTAAAACAGAGATGGGAAAAGTGAACCCTTCATAAAGCTACAGGGAAGGTTTTATAAAATAATGCCTGGTAAACAAGAGGCCAGGCTCCAACAGTGTCCTCAGCTGAACCTACCAGGAAGGTATGTTATGCCGTATCGCTGTAATGCTGCTACCATTCCAGCCCTGCGCTCAGTCTGACTTAGCTCTCAAACCCACAGCCTGCCCAGAGTTTATGGGGCTGGTTGGTCAGTGCCATCTCACAGTGATTGACATCCCCTCTTTACTGTGTCAAAGTCGAAGGTCAGATCAGTGTGGCCAATGCCCTCAAGACCCTATGCCCTAACTTTCCCCATGGATGGATCCTGTCTCACTGAGAGGACTGTCACATCCTTGTCCTTGACCATCCCCTGGGAAGGGAGGGCAGGAAGACTGGGGAGACAGGACACACGTTGGCTAGATAGTTCTGGTCTTCATAGAAAGAGACTATAGGCAGGGTGGGCAGGAGCATTTCAGCCCTCAGGGCTACCTTGGGCCCATACAGGATTCTCTGCTTGGGCTGACTCTAGTCCCAGTGGTCTCTGAAGATAGAGAGCTGGTTAAATGAGCCCCCAATACAGGCATAGCCAATGACAGGGGCTGCTTCTCGGGATAGGCTGTGGTCAGTCACAGCAGAGGTTAGCCTTGGGGAATAGCATCCAGGGTCTGGAGGGCTCCACCCCATGGCATGACGGCATGAGAAAGCAGAGACAAGTTACACAGGACAGAGCACAGACCGCTCTGGATGAAGAGCAGGGTAACCATCAAGCCCACTGGGGCCATGGCAGCCTTCTACCCAGCTCTTCCTTTCTAGAGAACCCCTCCCCAGTTTTCTCTGTTCCACGTAAGCCAGCCCACTCCTTGGAGAAATGGGGAAAGCCTGTCTCCAGTAAGGAGGCTCCACACGGTATTTTAACAAATTATATTCCATGAAACCTATCTACCTGTTCAGATTTCCTATATGCTAAAAACTTAATATATAGACAGCTCCTGTAAAAAGAAAAGACTCTGCCATGAGGGGTTAGGAAGAGATAGATAAAGAACTGCTTGGCTTGAGGAGCCATAGTCTGTATGTGCTTCATACACTGAAGTACTATGCCTCCTGCTCCCAGACTGCAATGGCTGTCCCTCCCATGCATCATCTCCCGGGTCTTCCTGGCTTACAACCACCTCTAGGAACGGAGACAGAATCCCTCCCCTAGGACACTGAGGGAGGCTTTCAAGATAAATAATGAATAACCCAGTTAGACACTGTGAGCCACTAAGTGTTGAAATAGGAGCGGCGGGGCTGCATCCCCGGCACCCGGCCGCCCGCATGGCTAGCTTATGCCCAGAAATAATTACATGGAAACTGTATTCTTTCAAACACTGCCTGGCCCGGCTAGTTCCAGCTTCTTATTGGCTAGCTCTTACATATTGTTTTAACCCATTTCTAATATTCTGTGTAGCCCACGAGCTGGCTTACCAGGGAGAATCTTAACCTGAGTCTGTCTGGAGCAGGAGAATCATGGCGACTCCTCAGACTAAGCTTCTTTTTCCCAGCATTATCTTCTGTCTACTCCGCCTACCTAATTTTCTGTCCTATGAGGGCCGAGGCAGTTTCTTTATTATTAACCAATCAAAGCAACAGATAAGATACAAGACCCACCTCCATCAACTAAGTCAAAGAGGCTAAGGAAACAGCCAGTAGACCTCCCACCTCCTTCACCCAGAAACTGGAACAGGTATGGAGAGTGAGTAAGCCAGGCCATGGCTGCTATCTCCGACTGTTCATGCCTGCTCCTGAGGGCACTAGACTTGCCTCTCAGCTCTCTCTTTGTAAGAAAGGCTGAAATTTAATATCAGTTACTAAATGACCCTGAGGCCAGCAAGTCCAAGCAGCTGCTGGAGCTGTAGGTTTTGGCTCATAGGCTCTGCTGGGGACAGCACTAGAGTCAGAATGAGCCATGGACAGGCAAGGCTTGAGACCCTTTCACTCCTTCCATGACCCTTAGAAGTTAAATCAGCAGTCAGAAATGGAGTTTCAGGGCATCATGGACTGTCCAAGGTCTTGTTGGGCCTCCACGTCTCCCAGGGCACGGGATTCATGGGCCAGGCAAGGCTCCCTTCTCTTTCTTGGGGTATCTCCTCACCTATGAAGGTACCTATCTTCTATGGAGTCTGGCTGAGCACCACACAGCTATTCCTATGGTAAGTTCTGCACCAGCCTCCCATCTGCCCAACTCACCAGATGAACTACTAGTATGTTTGAGAGTCTCTTGGGATAGCATCTCCCTTCCGAACAGGCCCTTAGACCCAGCCTGTTGAGCCTGTCTTTTGGGGAAGTACTCTTAACAACTGTCCTCCCTCGACATTCTCCAACTCCTACAGTGACCTCCTGCACACGACCTTCACTTTATACCACGTCCTTCGTCCCACCCACTATTTTCTCAATGCCTCCAAAGTCCACAATCTCCACCCCATCCATGATCCCTGCCCTGCATTTGACTCTTCCAGATAGGTCAGGCCCACCACAGCTGTTCCCTCCTGGATGCCAGAGGCATTTCAGGCCTTAGTATCAGTTCCCTCCAGGCTCTCCTTCAGCTGCATGCTAAGACAGTCTATAGCTGAGATGTAGCAAAGTCAGAGACCCATATGGGGAGTCCTCAGGTCAGCGGTTTGTGCTGTCTAGGAAGCCCCCTAAACAGCCCTCTCACCAACCCTGAGGTTGGCCTTAGGCACATGGCAGGGGCTCACTTGGCATTCAGTCTCAGGATATGGAGATCAGGCAGGCCTGGAAGCCAGCTTCCTTTCACTATGGCTTCCATTTCCTTTAAACAGCACCAAGCCCAACTTGGGTGCTGTGATCAGTGAGGCAGGCAGAGCCAAGACTAGCTGGTCCCCTGGAGCCCCAGTCCAGGAAGCAGGCCTTCAGGTCTGGTGCTGCCTAACACCCACCTCTGCGGTGTCACGGCAGGCAGGAGGCAGGTCTAATGCCAACCTTGAAAACATCCTCATGATGGAACAGCTCCAGCCCCAGTCCCAGGAAGTTGAATTGACATTCCCAGACTTGCCACTTGAGAGCTCAGGACCACTTTCCTGCTTGTGGACCTCTTATTCCCCTTATTCCCAATAGGAGGCTGAATAAATGGTTTTAGAAGGCCATCTTGCCCAATAGACCATCCAGCCCAGGCCACACACACCCTCCCTGACTCATAACACGAAGTAGCCAAGAGTAGAGCAACCTGCCTGGACCCTCCCATAACCATCCTGCGTGCCCACCTGTACTGGAAGGTCATGTTGGTGATTTTGATCTTGATCTCCTCGCCTAGTCGGCGCTCCCCAGTCATCTCGAAGAGCTTGCTGGCCATCTTCTCATACACCTTGGCATTGCGCTTGGTCTGCTTGAGCTCATCGAAGAACTCCTCCCAGACCAGCATGAGGCCACGCATCTCTGCATCTGTCCAGTTGCGGGCCCGCCGGTGCTTCTCCGTCTGAGGAGACACAAGGTAGCTGGGTACTTCGGCTGCTGCCATGCTGGAGGCACCTGCAGGGTTAAGGATGGCAGTCAGGCAGGGCCTCAGGCCTGGCCAACGCACCATGGGAGAGAGGCAGTGCGCTCATTCACTCGCTTGCTCGAGGCAGCTCCACGCTCAAAATGGGGCCTACATCTGACAGGCAGGAATTTAGTTAAAAGCTTTTAAACGGGAAACGTCATTTTGATGTCATGTTTCCATAGCAACAGAGCAACTGCATAAGCTACAACAACAGAAACCTTTTAACTGAAAGCACAGGAATCAGGGCTGCACTGACGGGCCATCAATATTGCAGTGAGAGGCTGTGCCCAAACCCACTGTGGCTCCCAGTCCCCCTCCCACCCTGCTGGCCCTCGAGGCCTCAGAAGAGACTTGCTCCAGCTGTGCCTGAAGGGCTTCTGCATGAGGGACCCAAGCAACCCCCACCTCAGCCTCACCTGGTTCATACAGGCCAGAGTCCAAGGAGGCCTCAGACGGGCAGTGTGCTGAGACCCAAGGTGTAGGGTCACAAGGGAGGTGGGGTTCCCAGTGCTGTCTTTATGACGGCAGGGGTAGTGGGGTCTTTGCTGAGAGGTCACTCCCTCTGGGAGGCCTATCAAGCTTTACTGAGATTGGGCCTCATCATCACCTCTTTGCTTCTCTTGTTCCACTCACCAAACACCCTAGGTCTCGGGTTGTGTGGGTGTTAGGAAGCCAGGCTAGTTAGAACTAGGCTTGACCTAGCCATGCAGGCCAGAAGGACACAGACATCGACCTTCACCGTGGCTGGAAGCAGGAGCATAGCACTGATGGAGCTGAGATGAGGAGGCCCATTGGAGAAAATTGGCAGTGGATAAAGGACAATGTCAATGGCCTGAGGCAGGGCACAGCTTGGGGCTTGTCCTCAAGAAATACAGCAATGCTGAGGTGGGGACAGGCAAAAAAAATCTCAAGGTGGAGGATTAATATGCTCACAGGGCTAGGCAGGACCCTCAGGCTGAGGAGTTAACAGGAGGGCAGGGGTGGAGAATGTGGAGTCTGCAGAGGGAAGGCCATCACTGAGCATCAACATCTAACATCTGGCCGGTGAGGACCAAATGCGACTCCGTGGGACCTAAGGCCCTCAGCTGCACAGGCTGTGGTGGATACCGGGTCTTGCCTGGGCCCTAAGCAACTAGGCTCACACTCTCTGACCAACAGAGGAAGAATATCTATCAGCCTCCCTGACAGACCAAAGACAGAAAGAGCTCAGCCTGGAGAAAAGAGTCTCTCTGGGCTTCCTGTGTCCATTGTAAGGAGCACAGTTAGGACCTTGTTGGGTGGCAGGGGAGTAACCTGAACTCCATTCCAAAATTTAAAATGGGAGGGAAACAGGAGAAGCCCCTGGAAGTCTTGCTGTATTACTTCATAGGTTCAGGTCAATGTCTGGTCTTGCTAAAGCTACTGGGTACTGGCCAAACTCCTTTCCCTCTGGCCCCCGAGTCACCCAGAGGCAGTCTTCCTTCTGTGGAGCTTTGTTTGCAGAGACCCTTGATTGTCCCATTTCTCCTAAAGGGGCACTCACTGTAGCACTCTCGGGCCTGCCAGACGCACTACTGGTCTGCTGCTGCCCCCTAGTGCTGAGTGTAGGAACTGGGTCTGGTTCTCTGAGCTCCCAGCTCAGAAGGTGCCTCTTCCAGGAAGGCACTTTAGGTTTTAGGCTCAAAGATTGATCCTTGTGGGGTGGGACAATTAGGTACCTGCCCTATTGCCTTTCCTGGCCAGGATTCCACAGACAGCACCTCCAGTAAACAGGGAAAGACAAGTACGACCAGGGGCCCAAGAACTCTGTGTTATCAGGCTGGCCTTGAATTTAGAGATCCACCTGTCTCTGCCTCCTGAGTACTGGGATTAAAAATCTGTGTCACCACGTCCAGCTACAAGCTGCTAGACTTTCAATCTCTGACTCTGTGACCTTAGCAATGGGCCCCAACCTCAGTTTCTTCATCCCTGGACTAAAATAACAGGAGCTAGCAAAATGCTGGCCAAAGAGCCATGACCTTTAGGGATATGGGAGGTAGGATGGTCATAGGGTCCCTGTCTTCCATCCCCTAGCCCCTCCCACAAATCTCCTTAGAGCCTCTGGAGAAGAATTCAAAGCCTGGCCAGGCGCTAACTGTTGGCTAATGAATTCTTCGGCCATTACTCAGGGTCCTAGAGTCATATGGCTACAGAGGAAACATCTATACCAGCTGCTTGCCCAAGTTCCAGGATATAGGAGGCAGCAGAGCCAGCCTGGCAGGAGCTACTCCATAGTCATACAACACTTTGGGTGGAACTTTCCTAAGATAAATAGGTTCCCACAACATCTTCTCAGGCATGTAGGCATCAGAAGCCCCAGGACAAAGTGGCCTCTGGGGACACCTTCTAGAGCAGAGTCCTTGCCTGGCTTCCAAGGACAAGAATGAACTGGGATGAACAAACCAGTTTGTCCAAGCCCCAGCTTCTCCCTTGAGGGCAGAGTTCCATACCTTGGCACAGCTGCATGGCCTGCTAGGACCCTCAGTTGTCACAGGATGAGAAGGCAGAAGGCTGAGAACTAGGCCCTCAGTAGCACCTAAAGGGAAAGGGGGCAGGTCAGCTTTAGCAAGTGTCCCTTAGAGGCCAGGCAGAAGAAATCGGGCCAAGACTAGCCTGCTGTGAGCTGGTGAGACCTATTTAGGCTCTCTGGGTCTGTTTCCCCTCTAAATGAGACTGGGGCTAACCTGAAACTTGTATTTATGAAAACAGTTCAGGTAGTAGGAAACCAGGCTCAAATAGGGTGATGGCAGCCAAGCTCAGCCTATATGAATAGAGGCCAGAGCAGAAGGTAGGCGCTATGGTGGGATGCCAGGTAACTTTTAAAACAAGGGGTTGTGAACTGAGCCTGTACTAGAGGGAAGAATTTAAGGGTTGAAGACTTGACAAAGGCCTGGAATAATGCAAAATGTGTGCACATGTATGTGGCAGTGGCCAAGAGGTAGTACGGCCCAGTCTAGGGAGTCTTGGTGCACTAAGGAGCTTGGACTGCTCTGGGAGGTGAGTGAGGTGCGGCCTATCTCAGTGGTGGGTAATGAGAGGAGTTATGGCCTACCTTACTTAGAACTGGCCTGTTCCAGCAATTCCTGGGATAAAAGCCTAGCTAGATGCCTGGGCTGCAATGCTAGACATTGCCATCACATATCATTGAGGAACCCAGACTCTTAACCTTTGACTCACTGCCTTTGTGGACAGCCCTCCCTTCAGTTACCCCCCAGCTTGAAGTGAAGTAGGCATTCCCTCCAAGACCACAATATGGAGACAGACACTTAGGGAGAGGAGCCTCAGGCTTCAGGGCCAAGGATGTGTGTGGATTCCAGGAAGGTCTGTGATTCTCCAGTGCTGGGCCCACCTCTGCCCATAAGCCTTCCCTGGGCTACCCAAGTGGGTCTTCCAGACTTGGCTGAGGTATACCACCTCACATGAAGGACAGGTGTACCTAGACAGAACCTGTCTACTCCATGGCCATATACTCACCCTGGCTTCTCTCATCAACACAATATTAGGCTCCTTCTTCAAGAAACTCCTTCAGAATGCTTTTTGGAAAAGTTGAAAACATCAACCACAATGTAAGGCAGATGAGAAGCTCAGGTCTTGTGCTCCTACATTCCCCAGGCAAGCGGGGAACACAAGACTTGCTCTGGTGAGGAGGGATGCTCTGCTCTGGTGGCTAGAAGAAATAACACATGCTGCAGACATCCCAGGGAGGCTTACCTCATCCTTTCTGAATAAACCTCCCATGTCTGGCTATCCACTGGGAGGGACATTTCATTTCCCTGAAGTCACCAAAACTCAAGCGGTGCTGAAGACCTTAAGGGCAAGATTACCATAGTCCCAGAGGACTGCTGAGACAGATCAGGGAGTAACACCCATACCATCAAACACTTGAGTTACTGAGCAGGGATCTAAATCTGGTTGGGTATCTACCAGCCCTTCCTGGCAAGGGTTCATCGCTTTGTACAGAAAACAGACCCTGTGACCTAGAAGGGCCAATTGAATGCACTGGCAGAATCTATAGGGCTTCAAGAGTGATCCAGGCAGACTTCAGTGTATCTGGTGGGCTGAGAAATAAGGTAGACAGCTCCTGTCTCTCAACTGGAACTTGATGGGCTTTCACAGCGTGTTTACCAAACAGTCCCTTTTCCTGTAGGTTAGTGAATAAAATGTCTGTGCTTCAGGCTCAGCCCAGATACAAAGGAAGGGGCCTAGTAAGATGGACAATGTTTTCGACAAGATTAAAGGATTTGCAAGCTATAAAGGACAGGGCAGGCATTGTAGACACAGCAGTCAGGCTAGAACAAAGGTGGGAAGACCAGTTGTGTTGGGGACCAGACGGGTTCCACCTGGAACAGGAGCATGATCTGGAAGGAAGGGTAGGAGGCTATGCAAAGACTCCAAAGCCAAACTGTGTGTCCTATGTGAGGACAGAGGCTTACCACCCCTCTGGTACCTTGGAGCAACATATTGGAAGCTGCAACAATATGTAGGACCTTGCACGATGGCTTAAAATGCCAATTACCACCAGAATTTGGTACACCATTATCTCCAAGGCAGGGAGATCACTTCAATAGAATCCAAATGAGAATAACTCTAGGTCTGGCCCCAAGTCCAGGTACATAGGTTCATTCCATACCTAGTATTGCCTGACCTTTATGGTGTCAAGAGAGCTTGCTGGGTGGCATACTTGCCCACTGAAGATGAGCAGGATGCGCTCCTCAAATGCTCGAAAGGAGTAAGTAAAGCAAGCCTTAGACAGTAACGGGTGGTTTAATTGCTTCTTTAATTCAAATGTACAATATCTGCAATTTAAAATTTTTAAATATACATTTCATGTCAGTCCTTCCACTTGGAAGTGGACAGCCAGGTCTGGACTGGGCTCCGGGGCACACCCATCACAGCCCTCCTGGTTCCCAGTGAAGCCAGCCTATGGCACACAGCAGTAAGGCCTGGACAGGAGCTCCTAGAAATGCAGCCAAACCTCTGCAGATAGGTCTCTGCCACCATCGCTTTACACCCAGCTTGTGGCAGAGGGTGTTTTCAGACACACTGAGGGTAGCAGGTCCTCTGATGGCACCGAAGTGTGACAAGTACACAGAGAGGGTGGCCCTGAACCTTCAGATCACCTTCAGCTGTCACACTGCAGAGCATGGCTTCTTCTTTCCTGGAAGCTCCAGACCCATCGAGGAACAGTTCTCTTCCAACCTGTGACAATCCTGAGCTCCCCAACCACCCTCAGCAGCTCTCAGTGTCTTCTACTTCCACACACCAAGTACCAGAAGACAGCTTCATGCCTGCCGGGGCAGCAGCTATGATCTTAGTGCTCAGTGTTAATGGAGGGAGGGCTTAAACCCAATTGAGACTGTATGGGGAAGGATGCGCAAAGGTGGAAGAAGAGACTCATTCTGCAGCCCCACAAAGGGAGGCAATGCTCCTTGCCAGGTGGCTGTGAGCCAAGCTATTGCTGTGTAAGACCTATCCCATGGGTTGAAAGCAGAACTGCTTCACTCACAAGAAGGTGCTTCCTGTCAGGGTTAGTGCCTTCTCTGGCACTACATTCTATAGGGCTGGAGGTGGCTCTACTCTAACTCTTCCCTCTTGAAGGGTACATGTGCAGACAGAAATGAGAGAATAATAAAGGGCACTTGGCAGTTACAAAGTCACCTACATGTCAAGGGGGCCAGCAGTGGGAGGGAGGCACATTTTGGAGAAGAAACATGCTGAAGTGCATTGCCAAACAGTTCTACCCTGGTTTCATTAAAATCTTTCCTGACAGTACCAGCAGGAAAACAACATCCCACCCAATGCCCCCCTAAATCCCACAATCAAAATAACATTTTTAAATAAAGTTTGGAAATCCATAGATTTTGAGAAATTTGATGAAAAGTCTTGGTCCCTCCTGCAGTCAGTCAGGTGGAGCAATATCCTCAGTGGGACTTTAATGAGCTATGGCCTTTTTGTTCCCCTTTAAATTTTAAATTGAGTCCCATTCTCAGATGCCAGTCACAAAGCTGACTGTATGTGGCATGTCCAAAAGGGGCAGCTTTCAGTAAGAATGGTCAGGCACCTTACATATGTCTTTGAGGAGTGTGTGTGAGCATGTGTGTGTGTACACAAATACAACTCTGGGTATGTATATAGGCAAACGCATGCTTGCCTGTGCCTGGGTGCATCTCTAGGCTGTGGCGCCCATTACAAGAGAACAGCTTTGTGGCAGAGGCTGTTGTAGTCTCATATTAAGAATTGTTTCTGGTCATTCTATGAACAAGAGCAACTGAACTCCAGGTTGAACTCACTGATATGAATCCCCAAGGGAATGGCTCCAGTTTTTACATTCAAGTTCCTTATAAACATCTACCACAAGCAGTGATCAGGCTTGCAACATGCAGAGTTGTTGGGCCAACCTGGGAGTGTGGCAGCTTAGAAACAGCTCCAAATGGCCCCTTTCCCCCAATCCACATGGACATGACTTAGCTAAGCAGCAGAGAACCTACCTTGTCATACAGCCAAGCAGAGCTCCCAAACCAAGCAAGGAAATGAGGACAGCCCATGTCCAGGACTCATTTTCATTAACATGACCAGGCTACTCTGGGCCCAGGCCTTGGTTAAGAAAGAGGTGGCACTGACAAGCATGAGAGGCTGTCCCTAGGCCACAGGCTGGCCCAATACTGAACCTTCCCTCTGGTGCCTCATTTTGTCAGGCTGAACCCTCCCTGGCCTCTGATAGGCATAAGTCTACAATCCCCTGGGCTGACAGAAGGCAAGATGGGAAGGGTCAAAAAAGGGGCTGGATTCATTCTTAACAGTTGCCTGGACACTAACCTTTCCCTTGACCAAGAGAAACTGAGACAAACCAACAAACTATATAGCTCAGAGACATCTTTGGGGTTATCAGGCCAGCACTCCTCCGGTCCCCACCATGCAGAAGATACAAAAGGACAGCATCCACAATGGCTAGCTGGCTCCTGGGCAGGCTACAGCCCAGCTCAGCCAGGACCAGAGATGAGGTTATTGGGGTAGCCTCTTTGGATACAACAGAGGCTGTTTCTGGCTAGGCTGAGGGACTAGGAAACTGCATTATCACTGCTGGGTAGATAGCTTGACAATCATGCCTGAGGAGGGGGTGCTGCAGCAAGGCAAGCCTTGCACAACCATAACAGTGGAAAGCAGCTCTCCTCAGCCCCTCAGTTAGGCCACAGATAGCATTCTCACTTAGGGCAGTGAACATGAACACCTCTCTCTGTGCTGATTAAATGTGATGCATAAAAAAGGGGAGACGTGTGAGGTGCAAGTGCCATCAGGTGTTGGGAGGGCTACACAAGGGACCTGCCTGACTAGACTGAGTAGCTACAGGAGAGGGAGCGGTGGCCAGAAGGTCCATCCACTTCCACAAACTTTATCACATGCAGCACAGGCCTTGCAAGTCACACACTTTACACGGGCATAGGAAGAGTTACATTAAAATTAATCTCTTTACTGATATAATTAAATTTAACTCCTGAGAAGAAAACAGAGAAAGGGAAAATGATGCTGGAAACCTGGCACCCCCAGCTCCCAGCCACCCCCCCACACCACTCATTTTGTGTCCAGACTCTGGTGTGGCAGGTACACCCTGCTGTGGAAATGCAGGTGAGAGTTCTCCAGCCCAGTGTGACAGAAGGGCTCTGAACCACCTGGTTCTGCTTCACATACCAGGGCAGCTGCAACCTGGCGACCACAGCCAGGGGAACACTAGGAAAAAGACAAACACCTGGTCAACCTAGCACTGCCACCAGCTGCAGCAAGGCTAGGACCCAGGACTCAGGCTCAACCCCAACATAGTGCATGTTCCCTGCATAGCCCACACTGTAAAACACTCCCGCCATTGCCTGGCTGTCCACCTGACACAAGTGGAAGCCTGTATGACCAAGGAAGCCCCAGCAGAAGCTTGGCACAGGCTCCTGGCTCCGGCCCCAGCAGTTGCCTCCTCTCAGCCTCTTGTGCCACAGGTACTACTCAGCAGGTGGTGACCTTGTGGACATTTCGCAAACAAGCAAGCAGCCGGTGGTATGGACTTCCTGGTGCCGCCACCACCTCAAACACAGACTGGAAAGCCCTGTGGTCGAATTCCTCCTCTATCTGGTGTCTGTAGAAGTCTGTGGCAACCAGGCAGAAAAGGTTCACATCCACCTGCTCCAGTTTGCCCATCCTGCTGATGATGTGTGGGAGGCTGGTAGAAGAGTTAAGGGGAACAACAGAAAGGGTAGGAAGACAGTCTCCCCAAGGGGTTCCCTTCCTAAGTCCATCAACAGGCCTAGGGAGGACAGTAGGCAACCAAAACAGAGGGTGGCCTAGGCACATCAGCAGCAGCTGCTGCTTGCAACCCTCTCCCAGCTGCAGTCGGCTATCTGCCCAGGAGGGCAGGGGTGGGAAGGCAGAGAGGCCCAGAAAGTGGGAGCCCTGCAGTGCAGACAGGGTGCTGGTTCCCAGTGTTCTGTGTAGTAGCACTTACCTGGGCTGGTGTTCCTGCTCACACTGCTCCAGTGCAGGAAGGGTAGAGCTAGCACCCTGCCTGGGAGGCTTTCCCGTACTTAGGGTGAGGCTGTGTTGTCACCACCAAGACAACTTTGCTGCTCAGTAGCTCTCGTGGTCTGCTGTGGGGGAGGCTGCCAAAAGAGGAACTCCTGGCAGCACTGTTGGGACGGGAACTGAAGCTTTATTTATGACTTTCCCCAGGAGGGTGACCATGGCATAAAGATGAGAGCTAATGAGAAGCAGCACTGAGAAAACCCCGGAGGAATAAAGCATGCCAGAGGATAAGGCAGCCGCAGGGCCAGCGGCTGGCCTGAGCTGCCCTGCCTCCCCTTCTGTGCTCCCCTCCCATCATCCTTCAGCAGTAGCATTCCTGCCACAAACCCACCCATTGGGCAGCACTAGCTGGCAAATGGCTAAACCTTCTGTTTTGTGTCCCTGTCAAAGTTTTATACCTTTAGTTACTGGTGGCCCTGTCAGAGGAGCAGCAGGTGGCGGTTAGGGAAACCAGCTCACCAGGAAGCAAAGCTCTGCTGGGTGAATCTCAGGTGAGGCCCTGAGAGCCTTGGCCCCAGAATGTTTCTTGCTACTGCTGTATCTTTGCTGCTGCCATTTTTCTCTGGTACCTGGCATGGAATAAATGGGCATGGGGAGACTCCCCACTGCCCTTAATGTAGTTTTGGAAATATCCTGTTTTCCTGGGCATTTTTACCTGTGGATTATTAAGAAGGTCATTTCCTCCTAATAAGTTGTGCTGTTTGACTGGAACAATGATTTAATATAATAATAGTGTTAGTTTAAGTAGAATTTTGATGATTGAGGGTTTTTAATAAACATAGTAAAGTTAGGTTAGTTTAGTAGAAAAATTAACATAGGTAAAAGTAGGATAAAATATTGTCCCTGTCTCTGATAAAGCAGAGGTTGCAGAGGATAAAACATAAAACAAGAAAGAGTCACACAGCTAGAACACATGAGTTTCTATTGAGAAACCACAAAGACTGTGGTTTAAATTAATGATTAAGGAAAAACAATTGAGTCCCAGAAGCCCAGCTAGCTCAAATTCTTTTAATCTTAATGTTGGGAGATGTGTTCCCAGGTTTTGGAGTACATCACAGCTGAAACAAAGCTTTGGAAATGACTTAAGGTTAGATTGAGACGTTTCTGTGAATAGCTTTGAGGTGAAAAACTCAAGGAAACAACCTCAGGTTTTAGAAAGGCACAGTTCGGTGAGGGACTTGTAAGATCAAGGAACAAGAACAAAGCAGCCCAATCATTATTAGTTGATGTGCCTTTCTTGCTAGAATTGGTTGATGATTAAAGATGATTAATTTCTGTCCTCAGTTTCCTGATATAAAACAATGTTAACGAGTATACCCTGAATAAAGTAGAACTGACTGTTTTTTATATATAAAAGATTAGGTTAGGGGGGCTGGAGAGATGGCTCAGAGGTTAAGAGCACCACCAGCTGCTCTTCCAGAGGTCCTGAGTTCAATTCCCAGCAACCACATGGTGGCTCACAACCATCTGTAATGAGATCTGTCGCCCTCTTCTGGCGTACAGACATACATGGAGGTAGAATGTTGCATACATAATAAATAAATACATAAATCATTTAAAAAAAAGATTAGGTTAGTGATTTTTTTTAAGATTCCTTATAAAATTACTTTTTGAGACAAGTAATAAAGCAATTGATTCTTACTTTGAAACCACAAAATGCAGCCTGACAGTAAAAGAGTGACTGAGAAAAATACCTCACTTGCTTACACTGTGTTAATCTACAAGTTGCTTGGACATGAATGTATGTGAGTTCTTGGAATAATTTGTTTTTCATCAATAATACACAGGATGTTTAACCATGTAAGGGAAATGGGAAACATGTTTTTTACCTGTATTCGTTATAATCGTTAACTTGAAAGACAGAATGTAACCACATTGTAATTTTTACACTGTCTGAAACATTTGGTCAGGATATATAAGCTGTGAAGGAAAAATAAAGACAAGATTAGAGAGAGAACAGAGAAAGACCCTAAGTGTGTGTTTTTACTTTTTACAGGCCTCAGAGAGTTTAGTCCCGTGCTGTCGTCCCCGCCCCCACCACTGACAGTTCCAGAGTATTAAGTTTTACTCCCTCAGGTAGAAAAGTTGATTGATAGTCTGTAGATACTCTTTTAGACTCACCCTCAAACCCCTGAGCTGCTGGAGACTGGTCCTCACTGAGGCAACATTTGGAAAAGAGTTAGTTAAGCATCGCCTTGCTATCTGTGGGGTTCTGTAGAGTTTAGTTTCAAAACATTCAATGAAACCTGAACCTGATACTAAGAGAATAAGAAAGGTCTGGTGGAGATTAAAATATGGTCAAAGACCCATGGAAGGATACATCGCTGAAACCCATGGGCTGGTAGATGCGCTGACAAGGAAGCAGGAGAGGCTCCACATGGCCATGGCAACTGGAGTTCTTTGTGTGAAGTTGGACAGGGACAGCATGACCCAGTCCCTGACCATGGATGACTGCCCAGCACTGTGCAGAGTCTGAAAAACCTGGAGATGAGAGAATCCTGAGCACAGGTCAGGCTGTGGGGGGGGGGGGGGGGGAATAGAGTGACAGGGGCTACAGCTGCCACCCTTCTTACAGGATGAGTCTAGGCCTGATGACAGACCTACTGGAAGTGTGGAAATGATTCTGCTTTCAACCCCCTGCTCTGTCCTTGTCCCACACATGGACACCCTCACCTTGTATACGACAGTGGCCATGAATTGTGGGTATGGCTGCTGGTTGGACAGAAACTCTCCAATGACTTTGTTCATGACATCTTGGGGTGGGAAGAAGTCGTCTAGGAACTGAGGCAGGATCCTTGCCACGACCCTGGCTTCACAGGGAAACCCCTTGCGGATCCTGTAAGGAAGGGAGCTGATCTGAGTTTCACCCTGGTTCCTGCCCACAGAGCAACACGACTGAGGCTCAGAGGCCCTTGACATATAGGGGTGCTCCAAGTGGGGCTCAGTCCACAATTAGGATATGAGCTTTAAAATTCGAAGGTGATACACAGGCTTTTCTTTCGCTGCCCTGATTGATCTGGGCACTATGAGAATAAAGCAGAGTGTGAGAAGGCACTATAAAGGAACAGCAGGAATAGGGTGGGGTGGTGACATTATAGAAGAGACTTTCCACATCAAAATGCTCCAAGAACTTTTCACTGTTACATGTCCTATATGAGAGCACTAGTGTCAACCAGGAGTTTTTCTTTCCATCAAAGATCCTCCCCCCACCGCCTGCACCACTTGTTCCTGTTTATTCTTCTCAACATTCAACACTTGTCCCTTACCCACAACCCGAAAGAGAGCTGACCTACAACTATCCCACTAATACACACACAACTGCAGTGTACAGCTGAGAAGTGCACAAGTGACGCAGACACTTGGCTGTGCCTTCCTGTGGATGTGGCCCAAGCCCACCAATAGCACTTGAGCACACTCCCAGGAGTGTTTATTTCCTTAGCAGTGGACTGTGGGATCAAGGAGGGCAGTGAGTACCTGTAGCCTACATGGGTCCAGCTGTCCCCTAGTGATGCTCTGTGAATATTCAAGCATTGAAAAATGGCCACAAGATGCATTTTAAAGTTTAAGAGGATGAACAATTACACATAGAGGCAATTGCTCTGACTACGGAGGTTAGAGGTAGGCTTGTGCTGCATTTCTTACCTGTCAAAGAGAACAGACACCCGCTCCATAGCAACGATCACAGACTCACTATCAGGCGTAGCAGGGCTGGGGTCAGAGGTTCTGCCCGGACTAGCTTTTTCTTTTCCTGAAATAGAAACACTCAGGCCGCTATAGAATTGAAGCCTAAGAGGCTTGAAATTAGCATTTGGTGACTCATATAGGACTTGACCAGATAAACATAGACCCTTCAAAAACAGGTGATTAGAGTTCCTAGCAAGGTAGGACCCACCTCAACTTTCTTACAACTTTCAGGGATGTGGTGGCCAGAGGCAGCTCTGAAACCTATACATGGTGGTGTCATGTGAGCTGCTCCTTTGCCCTGGGCCCTAGAATTTCTGGAAAGGTAACAGGGCTGGTTTAGGGTCACAATAAAGCTACAGCACCATGAGGCCTGGCTTGTGATGCTGAGTATGTTCCTGTTTCACTTTCTAGAAGCTAGGCTACGCACAAAGGCCCTGGGTGAGTCGATGACCCTTACAACTTGCTCACCTGTGTACATGCAGGTGAGCATCAGGCCTAGGGCTGCCATGGCCCGATGTGGGCTTTGTACATTGACTCTGTCCACGCTTAGCTTGACCAAAGACTCTGTATCTAAGCGAGAGAGTTGCTCAGACAGCAGGAGACGCTCCAGACCCCGGAGGGCACAGTGGTAAATGATGGAGGGGGTGGACTCTTCACTTCCAGACAGCATAACTCCACACATCTAGACAAGAAGAAAGGTTTGTTCTTATCCTCCTCAAAAGCACAATGACCCACTGGTACAGTTCACAAGGAAGCCCGCCTGTGTCCAATAGAACCCATCCAAAGCTGTCTCACCTGTATCACAGATGCTGAAAATTCTGGCCCCACATCCAGAGGATAGTTTTCCATCAGATAGAACGCAGTGGCACACATCACCAGCACATGCTGCTGGCTGTGAATGTTCACGCAGCTGAGAATGGGAGACAGAAATCATACCTAGTCACACATAGCACCCCTGGCTGTCTGCAGTGGAAACAGTTTTAAAGCATATCCATTCACATCTATCGAGTATAGAACCCTGGGCCGTGCCAGTGACTACACGGTTTCCAGAACTGCATGGCCTCAGTATGGCACACCATCTGAATGCTGTACCTCTTTTTTTTTTTTTAAATATTTATTTATTTATTTATTTATTATGTATACAATATTCTGTCTGTGTGTGTGCCTGCGGGCCAGAAGAGGACACCAGACCACTACAGATGGTTGTGAGCCACCATGTGGTTGCTGGGAATTGAATTCAGGACCTTTGGAAGAGCAGGCAATGGTCTTAACCGCTGAGCCATCTCTCCAGCCCAATGCTGTACCTCTTCATAGGCCACTTGACTCTCCCTGCAGATTCTTCATGTTTAAGATGCTTCCTCAGGATGTGTGGCATGTGCTAACTTGTAACACTCTATATCATGGGATCATCAGTTGGTACCGCCAGTAGGGACCTGGCTAGCATATGATTTAGATCAATGTCACCATAAATAAAGGAACCACACATCATCTCTTCTACCCTTTCAGATGTATTCAAATGACAATGTCACATCTAGGAACTGGCTACTGCTTTGTATGTGACATGGGACTCTCTGCCCAAAGCACTAAGCAAGGTCTACTTATTATCTGACTGGACACTGTAAGCGCCTCATACCCGCCCCAGTTTTTTTTGTCCTCTTCATTCCTCAGCAGATTGTGCCTTCACATAACCTGCTCAACTCTACCCCAGGCCAGGACCTGGAATTGCAGGGGGTGGCTGTTTGCTTACCTTGCACACATGTAAGCTACTATCCAGCAAGGACTACAGGGAAGAAAGCACCTTCCTACAAGCCGCTATCCCTGTCCCAGCTCGATTTGCCGCTGACTGTTGGGCCCCTGAAATGTACTTCTGCTCACCTGTCAGCAGTTATGTCTGTCAGCCTAAGACCTTACCATCTCCAAACTTTTAACTTTACTCTGCATTTCTCAATCGACAATCCACCACAGAACAGCCGGCTTTTCCTCCAACTCCCTTCTCATCCCTAACTCATGTCCCAAATTCTAAGTGCCCAGTTGTGTTCCATCAGGGCCACAGCTCCTCCCTCTGCTTCTAAAACAGAGCTGTAATGGGCTCAACTTATTATCAAAAGGACCAGCAATATACTCATGTGCAGCTGTATGTAAGACAACTTTAGGGGGAGGTGGAGATTAGAGCAGGAGTAAAGGGTCTCACAGGAAACACGGGGCTGATCAGAAACTAAAGAGGAAGCTAAGTCTGGTGACAGAATAAGGAAGCTGGTCCACATCAGTGTGCTGAGTGCTGTAGGAGAGTGATGCAAGGCAGGACTTTTCATCTTGCTAGAGATGAAAGCTTCTGACATATACTTGTGTCCTTGTGTCTCATGGCTACTATTTCCTAAAATAGGTACACTCCTGTCACCTACTAGAACCTGGCAAATACTTTGTTACTTCTGAAACAGGATCTTATCTGTAGCCCTGGCTAGTTTCAAGCTGATGCCAAATTTTCTGCCTCAGCCTCTCAAATGCTGAGATTATAAGCATGCACTACTATGCCAGTTCTAGCATATACTTTTAAAGTCAAACAGGGCTCTTCTGTTTTATTTTTTATTTTTGTTGTTGTTAAGACCATACTAAAGCCCACCCGCCCAGCCCCACTCACTGGGCTATTCCTTTGAGGTTGGACAGTAGATATTCACTAACAACTGGAATGAGCTGCTTTGCAGTGTCATCCAAAAGGTCACACTCCAACACATAAAGGATGCCATGCAGGGCTCCGATCTGGCTGGGGAGGTGGCTGCTCCTGAGTGTGCTCTCCAGTAGGCGGCTGACTGGTTCTGCCACAGTTTTGTCCTGAATACAAGCACAGACATGAGTTGCTGGAGACGGGTTGATTGCTAACTGCCAATGGCCTGAATCCCTGAAACTGAAAGAGCCTGGCTATAATCTAGCACACAACAGAAGTCACACGGGGGCAGGATACCATGCCGGAAAGGTCGGTGTACAGTGCTGACCCTATATAAAAATCTGAATTTGAGAGAGGATCCACCTCATGTGGAAAATGTGATTTGTGCCTACACTTGCTTTCCCCTTTGGAGTTGTAGGGTGCTCCTGTAACCTGCCTTGACAACACTGATTCTGAGCTCTGCTGCCCTTTGTAGAACATCTCATATGTGTTGTCTACTCCTTGTCTACCTACTGGATGAATGAGCTGTGTTCTGTATGACTATTCTGGAACAGTATTCAAACCTGGTTTTCTAGGCTTTACCCAGGAATTCTCTCCCTCAGCTAATTCTGCCTCATGTCTCTTCACTATAATTAACTTTGGTCTGGCTCCTCCTAGCAAAAGCTTGTTGGTAGTTGTGGAGCTCTTGACACTAATTTGTGCTAACCTGGACTGACATGGTATCACTTTCTCTGGGTATTCTAAGTGTGGCAGTGGAATTTTTGCCCAGACACCCAGCACACACCTTGACACAGGACTCCTCCAGCAGTGAAGACTGCTGTTGTGTAATGCACTCCAGCAGCAGCACGTCACTGTCTGACTGACCTACCAAACACCCTACCAGGAAAGGCTGACTGAGGACTCATTTGGTCTCATGACAGAAGAAGCCATCTAGTGGTGGAGGTGTA